CGGGCGGGGGGCGCGGGGGTCGGGCCGCGGCCTGCCGGACCTGCCGAGCGACCCAAGGGCCGCACGGGCCGGGCCGCGGGGCCGCCGGTGGGCGCTGGAGCCTGGCACGTACGAGTGGGCCCCGCGGAGCCGCCCCCGGGGGAGGGGGCGCCCGGAGCCGGCCTGGGGCGTGTGGGGCGCCAGAGACCCAGGGAGGCTCCCGTGCACCCCGGGATGGCCGCGAGGCGTGTCCTACAACGGTGCTCCGGGGAGGTGTGTTCTGGAGGCAGGGTGGCTGTGTTGTGGGGGGCCCTACACCCACGTTCTGTAGGGCCAGAAAGGGGAGGCGCCTTCCGTAGGGAGAACTAGGGGCCTGTTTGACACCTGGGGGTACCGTTGGGGGACAGCCCGCATTTCGGGGGTGCAGGAGGGGGCTTTGTGTCTTTCTTTGGGGAGGGATACTGAAAGCTGGGCTGTGTATTCCATAGGCCACCATAAGAGAAAGTTGTATATTTCGCAGGAGATAGGCCCGGGCTGGCTGGCTGTGGGGGGGCAGAAAGGAAAAGTGTGTGTTGAAGGGAGGCAGACAGGGGCATGTGTATTGTACAGGGGACAGATGGAGGGTAGTGTGTTTTCCAGGGGCTGGGAGAGGAGGCTGGGCACTCCTAGAAACAAGGAAAAAGCATTCTCCAGAGCCAGGAAAGGGGGGGGGGGGGTTCCTGCTTTCTGCAAGAGAAGGAAAGCTGGGAGCAGGTGCTAGGGGATTGGGGAGGAAAAAGGGGTGTGTATTGCTTGGCGGTGTGGGGATTCCACTGGAGGGCAGAAGGAGGGATGTGAGGGGAAGAGAGGGTGGCTTGAGGGGGGTACTATGCAGGGGCGGGGTGAAGACCACTGGAGAGTCAGAGCAGGGGTGGGAGTGTTTTCCGCACAAACACCTGAGGAGGAAGCAGACAAAGGCCTGGAATGAGAGGGAAGCTGCCCATGCATGGAAAATGGGACAGAGGAGGGAGGGGGACTCCTCAGGGACCTAAGCAGACATATTAATTGAAAAATTAAAAATTAACTAACATTTGTAGAGGCCTTCATAGTTTTCCTCACTTCAGTCTCACCACAGCCCTATAAGGTAGCCCTTGTTAGCTCACTTTGTAGAACAGGAAACTGAGGCCCAGAGAGGGAGCTAAAGGCACAACCCTGTCTGGGCCTCTTGCAGTCCCTCCACCTGTTGGCTTGCATCCTGAGACTGGGGTGCCTTCGGCCTGGCCCGTGGGCGCTGTCGCCCAGGGTGGCAGTAGGTGGATGTGGGCAGACTCCCTGAGTGCACCTCTTGGCTCTCTGGTGGCAGTTCCAGGGCCTGCAGCTGGAGCGAGAGGCATGCCTGGCCTCCAACTACGCACTAGCCAAGGAGAACCTGGCATTGCGGCCCCGCCTGGAGATGGGTCGGGCCGCCCTGGCCATCAAGTACCAGGAGCTTCGAGAGGTGGCCGAGAGCTGTGCGGACAAGCTGCAGCGACTGGGTGAGGGGAAGACTGAGAGAACCGCCTGGGGTGGGGGGCAGTTGGCAATCTGGCTGTTTGGCCTTCTGAAGTGGTAGGCTCCGAGGGGTGGGAATTGGGCAGACCTATTCTCCCGGCAAGTTTGAGAGGTGCTGCTACTCTTGGAAAACTGAGTTAGGGAAGTGAGCAGTTGGTGAGCAGAGCTGGGTGGGAGCAGAGGGGTTGCCCTGGGCAGTGGGAAAAAAGGGGGCCCAATACCCAAAGGCCTGGGATGCTCTAGGAGACAAAGCTTCCTCTTCTGCACTAAGACTGGGGGGGCAGGGAGAACCATGGGGGAAGGTGCACAAACTGATCTCATTGGCATTGTGTACAGATGAGGAAACAGGTCCCAGAGAGGGGAAGGGAAGCACCGAAGCACACACAAGGATCAGTGAGAGTCAGGATTGGGCCCTGGGGCTGTGGCCTGCCTTGGGTGACAGGCCCTGAGGGCAGGGGCTATTCATTCTGTCCTTCTGTGGCCCTCAGAGGAAAGCATGCATCGCTGGAGCCCCCATTGTGCGCTGGGATGGCTGCAGGCTGAGCTGGAAGAGGCTGAGCAGGAGGCTGAGGTGAGGGGGAAGGAGGCTGGGCCTGGGGACAGGGAGAGAGACCTATCCTACCATCCCCCCACTTCATTCTTACATTGCAGGCTTGAGAGCTTCTCCTCCAGGAAGTCTGTCCTGAGTGCCAGGTCCCAGGAGAGGCCACTGCATTGCTGTCCTCACTGTACAGCAGGGCTCCTTCTTCCCATCTCGCAAACCCCCAGCCCTCTCCACCTCCCACCTCCAGTTCTCCTGTGAATGTCTCAGGGCATGCAGGCTGGGTCTACTGAGGAGCTGGGGGGTCTTGTCTTGTCTTGTCAGTGCTGGGTTGGGAGCACAGTGCTCGGGGAGTCAGTGGAGGTCGGGGAGGAGGGACCCTGGCCTCCATGCGAGATACCTAGTCTACTTCAAGTGTGTCCCCATCTCTGTCCTGCCTCATTTCTAAGGAAACCAAGGCTTGAGAGTAGAGGACATTGGTCTGCAGTCACTCAGCAAGTCAGAGGCAGGCCCAGGCTGGAATTCAGGCAGCCTGTCCCCCAACTGTGGTCACCATTGGAAGGGATTCAGGGTGAGAGGGAGAGGACCAGTCAGTCCTCAGTCTTTGGTTGTGCTTCTCCCAAACTGTCCTTTCCTTCTGTCCCAGGAGCAGATGGAGCAGCTGCTGCTGGGAGAGCAGAGCCTGGAGGCTTTCCTGCCCGCCTTCCAGCGTGGCCGGGCCCTGGCCCACCTGAGGCGGACCCAGGCGGAGAAGCTGCAGGAGCTGCTGCGGCGCCGGGAGCGGTCTGCCCAGCCAGCCCCCACTGCTGCTGCGGATCCCCCCAAACCCTTCCCTGCTGCAGCTGTCCTGCCCACTGGGGCCGCCCGGGGGCCACCAGCAGTGCCCCGGAGCCTGCCCCCCTTGGACTCCCGCCCAGTGCCCCCACTGAAGGGCTCCCCCGGGTGCCCCCTTGGCCCAGCCCCTCTGCTGAGCCCTCGGCCCTCGCAGCCAGAGCCCCCCCACCGGTAGGATCCAGGGTATGGTCCCCTCAATGGGGGGCCCAGACATACTTGATGCGTGGCTCCTCCTCCTCCCCAACTGTCTGGGTGGGGGGAGGGGCAGGCCCCTCCCCCTGGCCTCAGGTAGGCCCTGGCCCTGGAGGCTGAGCTGGGGAGGAGGGTCACCTGGAAGATGCCCTGAGAGAGGGCTGAGGGTGGGGTGGGCAGGGTGTTATGCCTCTGGAGCTGAGGAAACTCTGCCTTCTTTTTGTCCCCAGTGGGGCCTCCCGGGTGATGGGCAAGCCCCAGTGAAAGAACTTGACTCATGGGGACCTGGGAAGGTGCCCACTTCCCCCAAGGGGCCCTGCCTAGGGGGCCGATTGCACCCTGCCACTCCACTGGACTTGCACAATGCCAAGGCCGACAGGTGTGCTGTCCATCATGTCCTGAGCCTACCTTTCTCCCAGTCTTGGGGCCCACCGCCTAGGAGCCAGGTGGTCAGGCCCCAGCTGCAGGGTCATGGACACCATGGCCCTGGGGCTATTATGTGCCCCACTTATGCTTCAGAACCTGGGGCAAGGTAGGCCAGGGGCTTCTGACCTGCACAGGTGAGAGTGGGCCATCCCCAGGAAAGACCATTCTGTATTTTTCTGTCCCGTCTCCTTAGAATGGAACCTTTTTGAGGGCAGGTCCTTGTCTTTGTATGTTCTGTCCCCAGCCCCGCCTCCCAGGGGCCGTCAATAAATGTGATGATGAGGATGACGATGCTGCCCGACTCCTCTCTGCTCCCTCAATTAGCCGCTCTGCTGTTGCAGCCTCTACATCTCAGCTCCTGCGCTTCCCACTCTTGAGATGCCCTCCCTTCCTCTCTGCCCATCCAAAACCCAGCTGTCCTTCAGGTCCAGTGCTCCTCTTGCCTCTTCCATGAAGCCTTCTCTGATTTCCAACCCATGGGAGTCGTTCCTAACTCTTAACTCCCCAGCACTTCCGGCCAGCACTCTGCTTCTTCACTGTTCTCCAAGTGCCTCTCTCCTGTACGCACCTTTTCCTGGGTCGCCTGTAAGCCCAGTCAGGATGGTACCTGCTCCTTCTCTGGCCTGCCAAATGACCACCCACACTGAGCGATGGAGGAGGTTCTATAGCGTTGAAGGTATCTGTCTTCAGCTAGGGTCAACACTAGGTGGCCAGCTTGGCTGATGAGTGTGAGACAAGATGGGAGAGCAGGAACATGCCCTGAATCAGCTTAGGTCAAGTCTGATGAGATGAAGTTTGGCAGGGAGGCACAGAAGATCTTGCAAATGAGTGGCGACAGAGTGCTGTAGAAGCTAATGTGATCTTGGTCCATATTAATAGGAATATAACCATCTAGAAAGGGAAGTGTTGGGTTGGCTTGACTTTTCACTGAAATTCTACATTGTAAAATTTCACAGGGATCCCCCAAAATAGTGCCTTTGGAGTAATAACGATTAAGAGGATTTGTGGAACAGTTGAGGGATCTGTTTGAGATATGTGTATGATGGTTAGCCTTTGAATCTCGAAAGGACTGCTCCATGTAGAGCCAGAGGTCAGAGGCAAGACCAATGGGTGGAAACCACAGGGAGCCCAGATTTTGGCTCAGTATGAGGCTAGGTCAGGGCTGCTGTTGGAGGTAGATGGTCCCCATCCCTATAGTTGTGTGAGCAGTGCAAATGACTGCTTGATGTGATCTTTAGAGATGTAGGCAGTAGTTGGAGGGACTGGCCCATCTGAGCTTTTGAGAGCCCTTCAAGTCCAATGAGATTTACCACACAAGTGCAGTCAAAGCATGGATAGCGCCCACTTGAGAACCTCCATCCCACACTAGCCTTGGTTCTCTCCTCACTGCTAGCACTTGAGCTGCTGGAGGCTGAGGAACACCAGACCCACAGGGTGCATGCCTGAGATGACAGAAGACAGAATGGTTCTGGGAGACCTTCTGAATTCTAAGCACAGCCTGAGGGAAGGCTGGGCCCCTCTTGCGATGGCCTCCTATTTTTGATCCATGCTTCCAAGCTGTTTTTTGTTTGTAACTAAAAGAAGGGGCTAAGGTTGAGCATGTCTGAGCCTTCCTCCACTATCATGAACTGGGGAGCAGCCTCTAGAAGGCAGAGAAGTTCAGCCTCTTCTGCCCAGGCAATGGAAGGACAGAGAGGGAAGAGTGACCATGGAACTGGATGGGGGTCCTTCAGAAATCCTTTCACACACCTCACCTTCCTCAGAGAGCTCAGACTCCGTTTTAGAAGAGGTGGAGACTGAGGGTCCTCAGTAGTCAACTCCAGCCTGAAAAAGACCAAGGCCGGTGGGTACAGATACCACCAGAGTAGAATGGGCCTAGTTCTGGGCCATGGGAAAGGCTTAGAATTGGATGGTTAATAAACTTTATTAACCCTCCTGCTTGAAGGTACATGTAAGGATCTGGAAGATTCCCGGCAGGGCTCTCTTCCTGCTTGAAACCTTCTGAAACTTTCTATTTCCAAGTTCTGGAGTCTGAGGGAATGTTCCTGGCTGTAATCCTCTATGAGAACAAGCTTGATGGTATACATTAAGGAGCCCATGAGAAAGGTCCCACCTATTACCACCAGTGCTTTTACAAACCAAAACTGAAAAATTGCCCAAATAATAAACTCCCATCCTTTTTTGATAAGAACAAAGAGTGCCTGGCCCTCAAGAATGTCTGTGATGTGAACCTCCTTGTTTAGGAACCACTAACTTCTGTGTATTTTCCTAAACTCTCCTTGTTTTCCAAATATGAAACATAGTAACATTAAATGTTGTTTTGGTGGCTGTTTTGTTTTTTTTTTTGGCCAATCAAGGCTTACTGACCTAAGCAGGCTAGACCAGAGTGGGTTCAAATCTTTCCCACTGAATTGTGTAGTCACTGCAAAGCAACAGCTAAGAACTTGCCCCTGATCAAGGCTACAGAGAACCAAATGGTTTCCAAGAGACGAAGCTGGACTAGCTCTGGATTTATCCCAATTTATACAAGAATTTTGCACAAAAGTTTGAGTGCAGGAATTGGTGTTACAGTATGAGGACCTCTGGCTTTGACTAGGACCTTGCCACTGCTGTAAATGTCTCCAGACTCTTGTCCCACAATGAAAATAAGATTCACACTCTGCCTCCCTGCATAAAGTATGGGCTGTCAGATATGATGTAACCTAGGGATCTGCAAACTCAAATGCCTGTAGGGGCCAGGAAGATCACAGGTGCAAAGCAGCCCATTTTCACAAATACAGCCTTTCATTTTTCTGGAAATGCATGGTCCTTTTTCACAATTTTTCCTCTTGATAGACATGGGACAGAGGGGTATTTCTCTGTTGTGAGCAAAATGGTGCAAGTGTGTATATTAAGGCCTTTTACACTTTCCCTGTTGGTGGGAGTGCAGTGAAATAGGGACAGATGTCCTATATAAAAGGAAGGTATGTTACAGCTTCTTCCAGGCAGTAATGCAGTTAACGGAGTGAACTCAATGGCAGCACATTTTCTCATTTTTTGAAACATCAGAAACCTAGATTTTTATGCAGTCTCTCAAATTATAAATGTTGACTAAAGTTATTTTATGTGCCAGCCACAGCCAAACACTGTGTGCAGGTTGGCTGTGGTCTGTGAACCACGAATCTTGGTCTGTTCTTGGTCTTCCTGAAACAGGCCTTCCTTTGTCTAGTAGCAGTCCTCTCCCAGGACTGAGTGTGAACATTGCAGAGGCAAAGGCATGATGGGAGGGCCAACCTACCTCATGACCAGTGACAGGACTCCAGGTCTGGACAGGCTTAAGTGAGTGGTGTGATAGCTAGATCCATAGTGACACTATGACCTCACAACACATGGTGAAGGTGCATTCTCTGCACTGACTTCTTGGGGATGAGAGCACTGAGCATTCTCAGCATATGCAAGTTCACGAGGTCCAGACTCAGGTCTCATTATCATCCTAACACACTAACAGAGGGACATTCAGCTGCTTTGCACAAACCCTACGGCTGCCAGGGCTACAAGCTGGGCCTGAGAGCAGGTGAGGCAGGCCTTCTCCTAGGATCCTGATCATAGGCAGGTGGTAGTGTGATCTCATCACAGGGCTGAGGAACTGAGATGAGGCAAAGACCAGGAGACAGCCCACTTCTCCAGTGCACCGAATTCAAGAGAGTGAATTGAAGTAGCACCACCACTTACCTGCTGTCCCTTCTCTCAGCCTCTTCATGGGATACGGTGACCTTCCAGGAAGCCCAAAGGTCCAAGACATAGCCTCCCACTCACCATTTTCCCAAAAGTGAGTGTGGTGGTCACTGACTTGGGCTCTACCCTTGGCGCCTCAGCTTCAGGCTGTGGTTATAAAGATAATGACCAAATGGACAACTCACTGGCCTAAAGTAGGCTACTCTTATTCGTTTTGGCTCATGCTGGAGCCATTCCAGCAGGCAAGTTACATCTTGTGAACAAAATACCAGAACTTCAGAAGCATGAAATTCTACTCTCTCAGCACTGGGATATATAAAGGATTTTACCCAGCAATTTAAAAAAGGACAACAGAGGGAAAAGCAGTTTGGCTCAGGAGAAATAAAGTCCTGATCAAGTCCAAAGCCGGTATCACAAATGCCTAGACATGTACACCTTTGATCCTGTCTTCTTGTCTGTCTCCCCATTTAGGACCTGTGTTGTGCTGCTCACTCAGCCTTGTACTGCACCCCCATCCTTACCCCTATGAGCATAGCGGGGGGCAGACTGAGCTCCTCTTGTCTGTCTCCTGTCAAAACGGGACTAAAGCTGAGCATGTCTGAGCCTTCCTCCATCAGAAATTAGGGGGCCAGCCGAGTGGTGCGCTGGTTGAGAGCTGGTTTGGGATGCCAGAGGGCCCTGGTTCGGATCCCACGTATAAGGGCTGGTGACACTGCTCTCCACAAAAAAAAAAAAAAAAATTAGGGAACAACCCCAGAAGGCAGGGACTAATGTCCACCGCTCAGAGTTCAGCCTCTCCTTTCCAGGGTAGGAAGGGAGAAATGGGGATGAGTTTCTTTTTATTTTTTGGGGCAGGAGGGTCCTTCAAAAAGCCTCCCAACTTATCTCCCCTTCCATAAAGAGCCCAGGTTCAATTTAGGGAAGGTAGGGAGTGGAGTCTCTCAGAGTTCAGATCTGGCTTTTTAAAAATCCTGAGGCAGACAGAGTGGCACTATAGGGTAGAGTGGGCCTAGTTCTGGGTCTCAGGAGAAGCTGAGTTAGCTGGTTAATAAATTTTATTTACTACCCTGCTTGGAGTTGCATGGAATGTCCTGGAATGTTCCACAAGTTTCACATATTTTGGACAACCACCCACACCTAAACCCTTCTGCAACTTTTTTTTTTTTTTAATTTTATTGGGGAACAGTGTGTTTTTCCAGGACCCATCAGCTCCAAGTCAAGTAGTTGTTTCCATCTATAGTTGTGGAGGGCACAACTCAGTGGCCCACGTGGGGATTGAACCGGCAACCTTGGTGTTATAAGCACTGCACTCTAACCAACTGAGCTAACCAGCTGCCCTGCAACTTTCTATTTCCATGTTCTGGGGCCCCAGGGAATGTTCATGTGCACAGAGAGAAAACAAACTTGAAAGGTTTATGTCAAGGAGCCCATGCAAAAGGTCCCAGCTATTAATGAACACTAATGCTTTTACAAACAAAACCCAAAAGAACCCCACCCATTTTGACAGAAACTCGGATAGAATCTTGCCCCATGGACACTCTTGTTATGCTCCAACTCGTTGGTTGAGAATCACTAGTTTCTGTACCTTTTACGAAGCTTCACTTTCTGTAGTTTATATTTCAAAAACAGACCTTCCCTGTTGTTTTTCAAATATGAAATATAACATTAAATGTTCTTTTTCAAACTACATACGTACACCACCGCTCCCCCACCCCCAATCAAGGCTCAAAGAGTACAGCTGTCCTGAATTACAATGGGCTTAAATCTTTACTACTGAATTCTGTGGTCACTGCAAATCCATGACTAAGAGTCTGCCCCCAACCTCCAAGGCTAGAAAGAATCAAATGGTTTCCAAGAGACCAAGTTGAACTAGCTGTGAATTTATCCCAATTTATACAAGGATTTCACACAGGAGTGTGAATGCAGGAATTAGTATTAATATACCAAAGCATCTCTGGCTTTGTTTCGACTCTAGACTTAAGACCCGCCCCCTTGTCGTACATTTCTTGGAAAGGTTTGCCTATCCCATAGCTTTACACTCAGCTCCAGCGCATAAACGCTCAAGCACCTATTGCACAGCCACCCACTCCCCATGTGCAGTGACTCAGGGTTAAAATACCCTGACTACTACCATTCTAGCCAAGTGATGGCTGACCAACAGCTTAGCACAAACTAGAAAAAGGAAAAAAAAAAAAAAAGCCTCAGCCAGCTCTGAACAAGAACCGAGTTTCCACCACATTCTCCTGTCCCTCAGTAGTCCCACCAACTCCAAATTCCCCACAGCCTCAAGCAGCCACGTTTCAAGGACCTGGCTTGTGGGGCCTGCAATAAGCATTGCAAGGTAAACAGGGTGGGTCACACTCAGAGGACTCAAACTCCCAATTTGTTGCTCTATTTCTGGGAGGGGATGGGCTGCATAGTTAGCGATGGGGGTAGCTGGTAAAGGGATGACCCACTTGGCACACTGTCCCAAGGATAAACTTGACTCTACTAGCATGCTTTAACCACTAACCCATTAGCACTATGGATAATAAAGTGTGGCAGATCTCAAGAGAACAAATGATTTGTTCTCTGCAGTCATGTCCACAAAGTAACTTCTCCAAGGTCATTCATTACATAAGTATGGGCACAGGAACACTCATTCCTTATGCTCGATGACCTTGCTTTCCCACTCCCACATGCCACCAACAGAAGCGACAGTGGGTTTGGGGCTGACCATAGAAGAATGGCAAGATTTCCACATATCACATTCTTAGCCGACAACAGGTCTCACCTGTGGCTTGGGTAACTCACAGAAAGACAAGGTTCGTACAAGCCCAGAATTTTTCTTTTGGCAGCCAACAACTGGTCACATTGCACGTTTCAAGGTTACAGAGGAGCCCCATGGTACAAACATGGGGCAGGAGCAGACAATTCTTGCTCAGAGCTTTACAATAAAGCCAGAGCAAGTGTTCCAGAAGTTGGCAACATCAGGAAGGCAGGCACCCAAGGGACTCCAGAATACCCTTCACTCTCGGACTTCCAAGGCTCTTCATTTTGGAGCCTCTTTCTTGGGCATCGAAAAGCCTCCTTTTCTGGACCGTAGGGGCAGGGATGTGCAGGTCATCGGCCAAGCTGGGCGAGTGGGGAAGAAGAGGGGGACAGAGGTTCCTTTAGACCCCAGCAGAGGTAGACTATGGAAGGCGAAGGGTTGAAGACTGGAAAGGCCATTTTCTGAGGGCTGACTGGGGGGGCTGCTTCCCCTTCCCTCCTCTCTCCAATTAAAAACGCAGTGTCATAATGATGAAGACTGTGAGGAGAAGCAAGACGAAAGTTGTGTCTCGGGTCTCATCCCAGCGGAAGCCTTTCTTAGCCCGATCCTCCTGCTGCTTGCGAAGGGCCTCACGCCGGGCCCTCAGGCGCCGTTCACGCTCTAGCTGTTCGCCGTAGTGCGCCTGATAGAAGGCGTCAAAGTCGAACATCGTGCGGTTGGCGCCCGGCGCAGCCTGACCACTGTGGTGGGTCTGAGAAGCGGGCGGCGGGGTGCGGGGCGAGCCCGGGTCCGCCGAGGGCGTCCTGGAGGGCCGAACGCCAGGTCCGCGCAGGTCTACGTCGCTGAGCAGGCCGCGGTCATACTTGCGGCGCAGGGTGGCACTGCCCAGCACCACGTATGCCTGGGAGATGCGCGTAAAGCGCTCGGCAGCCTCAGGACTCCCCGAATTGCGATCCGGGTGGTAGAGGAAGCTCTGCCGGTAGTAGGCCGCCTTGATTTGCGCCTGCGTGGCCGTGGAGGGGACGCCGAGCACCTCATAGAGCGCCGTGCGCGAGTACGGGCCGTCGCCCCGGGAATAAGTCCTCGCTTCTAGGCCCAGGCCCGATACCCAGTTTTGTGGAGATCCCCGGACCTGCCACGACCTCCACAGAACCAACCGCGGCCACCTCAGATCGCGCTTGGCTGCCATCTTGGATGAATCTGGCGGGCGGTGCTAAGCTGAACTGGCCAATGGGAGGCTTGCATTTTCCTCAGCTCGTCAGCCCTGTAGCCAATCGAGTAAAAAAAGAAGGCGGGGAGAGGGGGTGGAGCATGCGTATTGAGAGGCGGGCGCGGGGCCGATGCCATAAGAGCCGGGCTCGTGGAAACGCCAACACCAGTTGTGCGAGTGAGGCGTGAGCATGGCGTTCTGTAGTCGCAGACGCAGACCGGAGGTCGGCGGGCCCCCAGAGCTGGTGAGGCCTGTGGCCCGCGGGCACCCCCTTCCCTTTTAGGGTTTCTGCATCTTGGTTTCTTCCCCTACTCCCTTTTTCTCTTTCTTTTTCCCGCAGTATTACGACAAGAGCGAAGCCCTGAAATACATGCGCAAGTAAGGGAGCCTACACGGTGGTGGTCTGTCGGGAACCGGCAAGTTGCCCTGATTTGGGGCTTTGCTTTGAAAGCACGCAGAATTTGTGGGGGAAGGAAGGGATATGGATAGATACCATTTTTCTTTTATAATGGCAAAGTCAACTTGAGTGAAATCTCTGAACTATCTGGGCCTCAGTTACCTCAGCATTGAGATGGGCGTGATTGTGCCGCCATTTTCTAGGTTGTTTTCAAAGTTACTAACGTGACAACTGGTTTTAAGCGTGTGGTAAAATAGGAGATAGTGGATACGTGGAAGGGGTTAGTGCTGTTAGGAGGAAGGGGTTAATATTCGTTGAACGTTTATTATGTGCCTCTATTTACATTATCTCACTAAATCCTCATGACAACTGTTGGTATAATATCTGAATTTCATAGAGGGTAGTTATTTGTTAATACAAAGTCATTTAACAAGTGAAGGGTAGAGCAGGGACTTCCAAAGCTATCCTTTCTGATACACTGCTGAATAAAATCCTACAGATACTTGACCTTGGGAAAACCAGATATACTATAGGCCTGTTCTGTTCATTATGGTAACCAGTAGCCATCAGTCATCTATCGAAACACGTCTAGTCTGAATGACTTAGGATGAAGAAAATGTAAAATATTTTATTGATAATTTTTTATGTAGATTACATGTTGAAATAATTTGAGCATATTGGGTTACGTAAAATAGGTACCTTGGGTGGGTTAACTACTAAAGTTAATTTTACATATTTCATTTTAACTGTGGCTACTAAAAAGTCATGTGGCTTGCATTATATTTCTCATGGACAGCAGTGTTAATAGATTTTGTTGTGCATTGTTGAACCTTATATATGAGACTAACTGGTGCATAATTCTTCCAGAAAACATGTTTATAAGTAATACAACATCAAAGCCTGATAAATCTGAAAATATCTAATTGTTGGTCATTAGCTAAATGATTTGTTCCCTTTATATTAGCTTTGCATGTGGTAGTTATAATTTGTGTCACGACAAAATAACATGTTGCTGTATTACATGGACATTTGGGGTCACTTCTAAATAGTTTTAGTTGAGTTTGTTGACCAGGGAAGAGCACCTTGTTCCTTTTCCTTTGGCTTTTTTTTTTTTGGTCTGGGTGCGATTTTAACCCAGAACTTGACCACTTACTTGTGTTTCTGCCTTCACAGCTCTCGGATGATTGATATCCAGACCAAGATGGCTAGCCGAGCATTGGAGCTCCTTGATCTGCCTGAGGATCAGCCCTGTTATCTGTTGGATATTGGGTGAGATTCTGGGTTCCAGTTCATATTGTCCAGGTGGTGGGGCATTGTTGCTCCTCACACTGTTGAGTCCCTGTTTCATTGTATCTTCCAGCTGCGGTACTGGGTTGAGTGGAGATTATCTCTCAGATGAGGGGCACTGTTGGGTGGGCATTGACATCAGCGTTGCCATGCTGGGTAAGTGTGTCTCATTTAGCACTGGGGTGCACTACCCTTATGAGTATGGAGCAGCTATACATATTTTCTGTTTCCCTCGCATATTCTTCTCTAATGTAGATGCAGCCTTAGACAGAAACACAGATGGAGACCTGCTTCTGGGGGACATGGGCCAAGGCATCCCCTTCAAACCGGGCTCCTTTGATGGTTGTATTAGGTAAGAATCTCTATGTTCTGCTTTAAGCCCTGTAGGCCAGTGCTTCCCAACCTGGCTGTTCAGCAGAGTCACACAGGTTACTTAAAAATACACATCCCATGGAATTTTTAGATTCATAGTCAAAAGAAGACCCCCAAATATGTGTTTTTTTATGTTTCAAAACTATTCCTGTGATTATCTTGCATTGCTAGGTTCAGGCACCACTGGTATAGATTCTCTGTCTGCTTTGAGTCTGTGTGGTAGGGGAGGGGTGGTTTTCTGAGCCACTAGGACAGTGGTTCTCAACCTTCCTAATGCCGCGACCCCTTAATACAGTTCCTCATGTTGTGGTGACCCCCAACCATAAAATTATTTTNTGTTGTGGTGACCCCCAACCATAAAATTATTTTCGTTGCTACTCTATAACTGTAATTTTGCTACTGTTATGAATCATAATGTAAATATCTTTTTGTTTTTCGATGGTCTTAGGCGACCCCTGTGAAAGGGTCGTTCGACCCCCACAGGGGTCGCGACCCACAGGTTGAGAACTGCTGCACTAGGAGCCATCTTGTAGGCCCCAGCAACCACCCATTTTATGGCCCCCAGCAGCCATCTTGTTGCCTTCTTTTGGAAGAACTAGTAGAGAGTGGCCTAGATTGCTCCAGTCTCTTCAGCATCTTAGGAGTCTTTTCTGGAGTGTCAGGGTCAGGTTTTGAGCATGTACATACTACTTTGATAATGGATCTTAGACCATGAAGCTACTGTTAGAAACATGAAATTGTTCTTTGTCCTCTATGATTGGTTCTGCATAGTATTTCTTGTAGAAGTTTGTTGATGAATGGATGTCGGGAATAGGAGAGAATGTCATAGTTTAATCATTTTGTGGCTGGAGCCCTCCTTCTGTGATCATATGTTGAGTGGTAGGAATGCAGTGCAGGGAGAAACTTGGATTTGAAGATTTTCTTCTTGGATAAGGGATTAGCTTACATCTGGGAATAAGATTGGGGGGGCGAGAAATCATTTCAAGGATAGCAATTGCTTTTTAGTAATGATTGGGTGAGATGTTCTAAGCTGCAGAAAACCAAAGGCCAGTGGTATGGTCTGTATGTTTCATTAATAAATGGTCATTTTTAGTTTGTTTTTAAGAGGCAAGATGCTATGGCAAGCTTATTCTGTTTTTAACGTTTGTTATGTGTAAGACATTGTGTATAGGGTGCTATGGAGTTTGTGGAAATAAAATACAGCCCCTGATTTAAAGACTCTCCATGGTTTATTAGGTGCTATAAGACATGCAGCAGGTTAAACATAAGGCTTAGTGTGGGGTATGCACTAGGCAGTCGTGGGACCCACCAGAGTTGTGAAGAGAGAAGCAAGAGAGTGCAGGAAAACCTTGAGAAAGGAGGAGGGGCTGGGATTGGGCCTCGAAGGCTGGGAGGAATTTGGATAGTCAAGGAGAGGTTTTCTGAGTGAGGGAACAGTGTGAGCACATGCTTGGAAGTGAGTGGGGAAAGGAGCCTGAAAGGAGGAGATGAATGAGAGATTTCATGCAAGTTGAGGTTGTGTGGGGTTGGGTCCTAGGAGACTTTTAATTCCATTTTAAGAAGTTTAGGCTTTATTCAGTAGTTGATGGGGAGTGACAAGATCAGGTCTGTGTTTTATGAATATTATTTAAGAGAAGAAGAGAGAAGAGGTAAGTTAGATTGTTGAAACAATTGAGACGGTAATAAGTGCTGACCTAGGAGAGTGGTGGAGGGAAGGAAAAGCCGGGAGAGGCAGTGGGACAAACCACCGGGGTTTGGGGTTCTGTGGATTGGTATGCACAGCACTGAGGAAGGGAATGCCAGAAAGGAAGACATAGTAGCTGCTTGAGGTTTTAAATCTGGGGATTGTGGAGACACTTAACAGGTACATTTGAAGGAACTGATTTTGGAGGAGAGTGAATGGATGACTTTGTGTAAATACTGTAAAGCATGTGGGTCGGTGGGTGGGTGGCAGAGAGAGTTGATATAGTGAGTAATTTTGAACTTGAGATGCTTGTAGAAACAAGGTTAAGAAAATGCTTCTTTGGACTGACTATAGGGATGTTAATGCTGACCTTTCCATATATCCTGTTAGGTCCAGTGTTGTAGAATAGTGACCTGGAATGGACCTGCACATGCCAAGAAAGGGAGTGGTGGGTAGGAGGGTGTATTTACCTGGAGATCAAGGATGTATGGTGTTTGTCTTGAAGCGGCGGGGGGAGCGATGTGTGCTAGTCTCTTTCCTGACTAGGTCCCTTCTTTTTTTAGTATTTCTGCTGTTCAGTGGCTCTGTAATGCTAACAAGAAATCTGACATCCCTGCCAAGCGCTTGTACTGCTTTTTTTCTTCTCTTTATTCCGTGCTGGTGAGTATGAGATCTCCCCATCTGGGCTGGCTGCCTATCTCTCCCTTGCCCTGCAGGTGGAGTGATAAAGTAGAGGCATCCCATGGCAAGGCCATTCCCGAGTGCCCACATCCTCCGACTCCCTCCCCTCCCTTCCACTGCTGATGCTTACATGGGGAGCAGGGTGGTTGTTTACCACTGAGAGAGCCTTTATTAACTTTATAACTGGTGGTGTTGATTTCCATTGTTTACTAGGATTAGATGATAGTTTGAGGTTCAAAGTCCTAAAAATGAGTTCTTTTACTTTTTTGAAGGATCAAGGCGTTTCTTGATCTCTTTAGTCTCCCTACCTCACCCCTGGCTTTCCTAGGGTGGGTTGTTCTTGCAGATGGCTGGCTGGTCTTGTGCATTTTGTAGTTTCTCTCCTGTTCACACACTGGGGTTAATCCTGAAGTTCTGAGGGCCTTTGTGTTGGCCTTTCTGCTGAGACGCACTTCCCGCATAGGTTTAAATAACGAGCTCCCTACTATATTCAGGTCTCTGTTCAAGTGTTCCTCTGAGAGAGGCCTTTCTTGAACCAAAAGGAAATTCAACAGTCTTTTGTCACTCACCATCCTTTTTCCTAATTTATTTTTCTTTCTGGTACTTAATCACTACTTATTGTAAATTAGATGTTTCCCACATTAAAATGTGAGCTTCAAAAGTTCAGAGGCTATCTCTTTTGTTTGTGGCTGTATACCCACCCCTAAGAACAGTGCCTTGTACATAATGGGGACTCAGTAAATATTTACTGAATGAGGAAAGGAGAAGTGTCTGGGTCCTGACCCCATGGAGCATTTGTAAGACAGTGACATTTCTGTTTCTTGCAGGCCCGAGGAGCCCGTGCTGTTCTGCAGCTGTACCCTGAGAACACAGAGCAGGTGAGCCTTTTGGCTACTGGAGGTGCAGGGAAGGGGTGCCCAGAACAGGTAAATTGCCCTTGTCTTGCTCCTCACTCACTTACCCTCGTGCTGTTGGGAGATGACAGAACAAGGAACTTAACGCTGGTTGATGGGAAAAGGAAGGAATGAGAACCTGAGAGTGGTCCCTGTGGCCCCTGATGACATGGTTTATGACCTAATGTCCTAAGGAAGAGCGGTGGTATCTGCTGGGGTGGGGTAGGTTGACTTTTCTTGACAGATAAGATGGTATCACAGGTAATGTGATATATTACTGATTTCCATAACCACATCAGCAGTTGTTGTTTGTTCTGTGGAGTGTCATGCAACAGGAAGGAGGAGGTAGGAGGTACAAACTTTGAGAGACAAACGATGAGTTGTCCCTGACTAATACCATGAATGAGTCTGCCTCCCTGTTGGTGGCAGTTCATTTTCTGAGATTTGAGTGGGGAGATGGGTCCCTGGGCTAGAAAGTGAGAATTGCTTGTTCTATAATTCCACTGTATGCCATGGCTGGCTCTAGCTTGCACTTTCCTCTATGTGGCTTTTGGGGACTCAGTTGGAACAGTTTGATAAAGAAGACCATCAGTTCTCCCAGGCAGTCTATCTTGGGACTAGACTCGCTTCTTAAGGGGAATGAGGGGAATCTGCTCCACTGGCCTCCCTGTGTGCTTCATCGCTGTTCTTTCCTCAGTTGGAGCTGATCACAACCCAGGCCATCAAGGCTGGCTTTACTGGTGGTGTGGTGGTAGACTACCCCAACAGTACCAAAGCAAAGAAGTGAGTGTTGGGGGCCAGGGTGCTGCCTGCGCTGTGGGAGAGAGGGTGGCGGTGTGGACATGGTGCCAGGTTGGGTCCCCAGGGTGCAGATAGGAGGCCCTGAGTTTTCTGCATCTGTTTATGGAAGGGAGGGTGATGACTTTGCTTTATGATTCCAGCCTTCACCTTGTACTTTCTTGTTTCAGGTTCTACCTCTGTTTATTTTCTGGACCGTCGACCTGTCTGCCAAAGGTGAGGGACCCTGCTTTGTAGGCCCATATCTTTTGGGTTCCCTTCTTGTGGGACTGGGCCTAGTACCTTTTGGAAGGTCTCAGGCATGGGTACCCAGGCCTTCTGGGGTAGGGCAGATGAGTTGAGAGATCTCTGGGGTGATCTAAGAGCACTTTTGTCCTGCAGGGCCTGAATGAAATTAAGGAAGAAGAAGAGTCTAAGGAATCCACATTCACGAATGAGAGGTAAAGCGATTGTTCAGTTCTGCCTAAGGTGCAGGGGGTTGCTGCTGCTAGGTTTATTAGACATGGAAGGAGGAAGGTGGAGGTGGCAAGACCACTACAGTTCTCTCTGCTTTCACCAAGTCTCAGGGTCAGATGTGTCAGTGACATCAAGGTGGTAATAGAACCCAGGAACCCCTTGGGACGTGCCTGCTCCTGCCTTGGGCTGGGATGTCTGTGGGCAGCCCTGCAGCTCTACCCACTTCCTGTCTGCCTTCTCTCTTGCCATGCCTGGCAGTCTATCCCTGCCTTCCCTGAAGCTGCCTCCTCTGCCTGTTTACTCTCCTGGGCCATTCCCATCAGCACACAAACGTGCTGCACAATTTCTCTTATCTTCAAAAAGGTCTTCCCTTAACCCTGGAAAACTAGCCACTACCCTGTTTATCTGCTTCCCTTTATAACAGAGCTCCTACTTGCCTCTTCTTGCTTCCTCGCCTACCATCTTGCAGTCCTCTTCTCTGGCTCATGCTTCTGTCTTATCATTGGTTGCTCTTGTCAAGGCCACCACCAACCTGTCTTGCCAAATCTATGGTCACTTCTTAGTCTTTCCTACTCTGTCCTTAACTTGCTTGCTTAGTAGGAGCTGATACAGCCAATTACTCGTTTAACACTTTCCTCAGTTGGTCTCCCGCCCACTGTCCTGGTTTTCTTTTCACTGGTTGTCCCTTCTCAATCCACTCTGCTGGCCCTTCCTCTGGGGCCCAGTCTGGACCCCATCTGTCTGCTGCCTTAAACACCAACTACAGGTTCATAACTTCCAGATTTATATCCTTTGCCTCAATCCCACCTCTGATTTCCAAACCATCTTCTAAGTATCCATACCTAAACTTCCCACAAATGTCTCGAACAAAACAGAGCTGTTGGTTTTCACCCCTAAACGTTCTTCCTCCATTCTTTACCATTCTCATTCTTATCTTCCTTACATCTCACATCTGGACAATCCATCTCACAGCAAATCCTGCACCCCAACCCTCAATGTATATTGTGGACCCTTAGTTCCTTTCATGAACCACTGTCTCTCTACACTCTAAAGTCTAGATCATGTTGTGTCATTCCTTCGGTATAAAATGTCACCAATTCCCACTTTCTTACTGAAGAGAGGGCACACTCCTTGTTGGTATTCACGCCTCCGTGAACTGTCCCAGCCAAGTGAGATTGAGATTCTGAGATTTTTAAGAATTCTTTTATGATTCTGACTTTTGTTAGAACAGATGAGAAGTGGTGGCAGAAAGGGTCTGTCTTACTGTCTGGCTTCCACTAGTCCGCTGGTCTGCAAGCAAGGGGGAAGCTTACGTAGGAGCCAAGTTACTCAATCCTCTGCAGACCCTCAGAATCTGATTTGGGTCTTTCCCCTCCACCGTGATTCCGGCACCCAGGACTCGTCTGTTCCCTAACCTTCCCTTCATTCCTTGCAGTTTCTCATTTTCATGAATTGCTTATCTGGAATGCTGCCCCCAGTGTCTGCCTGTAGAAATACCAGCTTATCTCCATGGCTTTTGTTTTTCCCAGAACCTGTGCTTTTCCTTTAGATCCTGGGCCTCTCTGCACTTGCTTTGCCTAGTGCGGGTAGTCTCTGCCACAGCCTAGCCATGAGCTCAAGGGCACAGCTGGTTCATAGCCATTGGAGAACATCCATGGGCCGTGCATGCAGTTGCTCAGGAAATGGGGGTCATTTAAATGGCAAGCGGCCCTGCATGATGTGAATTATGCTGGAAACAGTTTGATCCCAACTGCCAGGTGGGAATATGGTTTGGGAGCCCAGGCTTCCCTGTTCTCAGGGCTTCTTTCCTGTGAGGCTGTGGGGGGTTTCTCTTCTCCTCAGCCAGGGCGAGAGGCCAAGATCAGCCCTTGAGGATCATTGTCGGGGCTGCCACAAGCTGGGCAGCCTTGTTTTCCTGCCTCAGACATTTGTAGTTGCTGGGAGCCCTTACTTGATGGGCTATGCTGATGCCACAACCAGACTAGGGCCTTAAGTGGCAGCAGTGGGCATGGGACCTCTGGCTTTCTGTGGATACTGCTAGGCTCTTGTGAGCCAATCCTGGCCTATGTTACCCAAAAGGTAGCCTTACCCACTGCCTGCCTGCCTGCCTCATAGGCAGAATGTATGCAAACCCAACAGGCGGTCACCTGCCACAAAGATGCCTGTGAGTGGGACCTAGTACCTCCTGCCCTCCTACTAAACCAGAGGTGGATGTTAGTTACCAGGATGGGGGGTGGGGGCAGAGTGGGACTTCTGTTGTAGAAGGGGCATTGGAGGGAAACTCACCATTTTCTCCTGCCTGAATTAACTTGGGTGCCAGCCAGGCCATTCTATCTATCAGCTCACAGCTTGTCTCCTGCAAGGGTCCCGTACAAGATTGCGAGGCGAGGGCTGGTGAGGAAGAGCCGGAAATGGGTGCTGGAGAAGAAGAACCGATGCAGACGTCAGGGGCAGTGAGTACCTGGGCTGGGGCTAGGCTGCTGGGGATGGGTGAGGGGTGATGTCTGTGGCCACTAAAGGCTCACCTGCATTTGAAGGGATTCCAGGGATTGTTCCTTTTTCTGAGACTTCTATTTTTCCCACCTGTTGTTTCTTCACCACAGGGAAGTCAGACCTGACACTAAGTACACTGGCCGCAAGCGCAAGCCCCGCTTCTGAGCAGTTAGCTGCATCCCATGGGATAGCTCGGGGGCCACACAGCTATGCGCTCTTGCCATCCAGTCCCGGCAGTTGCCCCTGGAAAGTTTTCTATATTGAAGTGCCTACTTCATACAGCTGACGAAATAGTTTTAGGAAAGTTCTAAAAGTATTTTCATTGTTAAAGTTCTAAGAGTATTTTATTTTGTTCTAAAAGCAATAAACCACTTTCTGTGGAACTCTGGCATTTTCCAGCTCTGTGATTCCAAGCGAATTTTTCAGGTTCCTCTGTTGGTGGGGGTGCTACTTGATTGCACAGGTATGAATTAGGTTTAAAGAAATGTGTGAAAGCACTCTTTAACGACAAGGAACAGGGCTTATAACACTAGGCAAAGTTGGGAAGGATGGGCAGGATGAAATGTGTCCATGGTACCCACTGGCTGGTCATTCAGATAGCAGCCCTGCATGGTATGAGTTATGCTGGAAACAGGCTTCTGCCCAGTGCCTGGGTTCCCTGTGGTCTGAAGGTCTTATCCAGCCCAGCGGTCCAAGCTGACCAAGCTGACCTTTGGCCTTGAGCTGCATTGGCAGCTGCTGACTCAGCACTTGGTTGTCTCAGGGGCCTGTCTCCTGTCTGTTCACTAGTTGTCAGAAGGGCAGGTCCTACCTACACTGGGGGGTGTGTGTGGGACTCTAGCAGACTGTAAGAGAGGGGACCCACTTGTCACTTGTGGCTTCTAAGAAAAGTGGGAAGATCTGAGCCCACAGTATAGAACAGAGATCAATCAGGCTTTGAGCAGGAGATGAGACATTTAAGTGTGGCCCTTGGTTTGTGGTGGAGGAGCCAGAGGGTCTGGAAGTTGAAGGCCAACCGAGGTTAGGAGCTGAGCCTCTGCGCCCTTTCTCCTTAGTGCCACACACATTCATCCCCAAGTTCTAAGGCCATGACATTGTAATAGTAATAAATTGAGAGCAGAGGCATGGTACAGATACAAATGTTTATTCTACATAAAAATTTCACAAAATGGGCAGCTGGTTGTACCAAGACCTTTGGTGAAGGGATAAAGGAGGGGAGGGAAGTTGCTGTTAAAGAAGGCAACATGGACAGTGGTCATAGTCACTGGGCAGGAGCAAAGCTGAGGGAAGGTGGGGCTCGGACATGGCCCCATCCCCTACTGCATGCACTCGCATGCACACTCCTTGCCTGTCAACAAGGAAGAGGGGGCACGTTTCTAACTTGAGAATCCCCGAGATGGTGGGAGGGGAGGTACCCCTCCCTGGCTGGCTGCTGAATACTGCATCCAAGACACCTGACTTTCATGTGGCACATCAATGAGGGGATGGCAAGGGCAGGACGTGGTTACAGGCCTGAAGTGACGTCTGACTTCCCAGAGCACGAGAGCAGGGAACATTGTCCCAAACATGCAACACAGTGGCTTGACCCGACAAAGGCCTGCTGGGGAGAATGGCTGGCCCTCTACCTTAGCTCCAAGGGTGGCTGGAGACCGGGTACCAGCCAGCCTCTTCCAGAATGTTACCAGGGGTCAGGCATAGCCCAAAGGGGTTGCTCGGGGAGCTAGAGGGATGTGGGAAGGGAGGTTGAAGCAGCCAAAGACCTTCTGGACTCTGCCCCTAGGTACGGGAGGGAGCCTGGTCTCGACACTGCCAGAAACCACCTGGCCACAGCACTCTGAACCTCCCTGGCAGTGATCAGCTGTTGAGGCTTAGAGCTGAGCTGTCTCTCACGGCCATCCCTCCCCTAACCTGAAAAGCAGCACCATGTGGCCAGCTGATCCCCACCCATCAGGGGGCTGGGCTTGGGACAGCTGGAGAGGGCAGGACAGATGGGTGGGGCAGTAGGAAGCAAGGCTGGGGTCCAGAGAGCCTTGATGCCCAGAGAGGACAGACCCCCCCAGGTCAAAGTGAAATGACTGAAGGCAGGGGAAAGGAAGCATGGCTACCCTGGGCAGCCTTGCCTGGGAAGGGTGAGGGGGCCAGGGCCTGAGTCTGTCCCTTGCTGACCCACCCCCACCCTGCTGGCTGTTTCCCAGCCTGGCTCCCCTCTGCCTCTTCTGTACAGACGCACACTTACAAAGATCATGCACACAACGGCTCAGGGCAGGGTGGGTATGGAGGGCCCCGTGGCAGAGAAGGAGCAGTATGGGGTGGAAAGGAGAGGGCTCTGAGCCAGAGGGTGGCAGCAGCCAGGGGACCTTCTCGGGGTGAACCATCCAGAGTGGAGTGGCAGGTGGAGCAGCTTCTATCCGAAGATGCCTCCAAAGATGGAGGCAATGACAATGCCCAGGACTACACAGCAGATGATGATCATGATCTTCTTCTGCACCAGAGAAGCAGAAAAGAAAGGCCTCAGACAGGGCATGGGAGGGCAGGGCTGTGATGACAGTTGAGGGCTGGAGGGTCTGGAGGGCTGAATGGGGGCGAAGGTGATAGCCAGGAACCGGTCTGGGAGGTGGTTATAATGAGGCACCTGAAGGCCTGGGAGAATTGGGGGAGGCTGTGGTCAGAGCTGAAAAGTGGGATAAAGGCAGAGTGGGTAGGACTCTGTGATCACTGATGCGGGGGCGGGGGACATGGATGGGCAGAGTTGGGGCTACTGACCCGGCGTGCCTTGCTCTGGTACTTGACTGCCTTCTTTGTGTCAGACACGGCCCTCTCCACGTAGTCTACTGCATGTTCCACGTTATACTCGATCCTGTCAATCATCTCCCCCTGCAGGGCCAGGGGCACCCAAGCTCCAGAGGGCCCGCCTCAGGGTCAGGAGGGAGCTTGGGCAGGACTTTGGGAAAGCACCCTGAGATTAGAGAGAGAAAAGGGGGTGTGAGGAGGATGGGGTATAGCTTCTCGTCTATGCCTTTCAGACCAGGCACCCTGGGCAGCTCCCGCCTCTCCCCACAGAGCAGCTATCCTGAGAGAACCAACCATGCAGTCTCAGCCAGGGACATGGGGACCATGCAGAGAATGCTCAGCTGGGACCCTAACCCTGGTACTCGGTGCTGGACAAAGGAAGGCAGGGGCAGGAGTGGGTGGGCTGGAGTCTGGCCACAGCTCACAAAGTGATCATGGTGAGCCCATTCCATCCCTAGGCATGATGGTTCCACCCAGCTCTGTCTTTGGTCTTCAACCCTTAAGATCCCCCTGCCCAGTCCCACAGTCCTCTTGGGCCCTGCAACCAGGTCTCATGCAGCCTGCAGAGGTCACTGATCATGACACTGAGACTCCCAGCAGTGGCAAGCTGACAACTGACAGCTAGCTCTCTCTCAAGTCCACTGCTCCCACAGGTGTCCATGTCTCTTACCCGGATGACAATGGCAGTCTCCTTATGGCCTCTCTGCTTCCTAACTCAGGTCACGCCACTCTTGTACTTAAGACCCTCCAATCTTGGGGTGGCCAGTTAGCTCAGGTGGTTAGAGCACAGGCTCATAACACCAAGGTTGCTGGTTCGATTCCTACATGAACCAAGGAGCTGGGCCCTCCACAACTAGATTGAAATAACTACTTGACTTGGAGCTGATGGGTCCTGGAAAAACACACTGTTCCCCAATAAAATTTCTTAAAAAAAAAAAAAAATTAAAAAAAAAAAACCAACCACCAAAAAAACCCCTCTCCAATCTAGAAGAGACTCCAGATGCCCAGTACCTGCCAAGGCCCCTGTCTACCACATCTCCAACTGCCCCTGTGCTCCAGCCTCACGGACCTCCTTTCTGCTCCTAAGTCAGGACCATGCGCTTGCTGGTCCTTCTGCCTGGGCCAGCTCTTCACTCTTCCCCTGGGAAGTCTCCAGCGCTCACACACCACCCCCTCAGAGAGGCCTACCCTAACCGCTCCGTCCACAGTGGAACTCCAAGTGTGGCCCTCGGACCAGTAGCATCAGCATCACCCTTGAGCTTGTCAGAAATGCTAATTTATGGGCTCCCACCCTGACCTCATCTCTGGGAATGGGGATCGGAACAGGGAAACCTACAAGAAAACAAATCCTCCAGGTGATTCTTGGGCACTTTCAAATTTGAGAACCACTGCTCTATCACAATGCTGCCTTCCAACATCTGAGCACCTGGCACAACTGGAGAACATTCCAGTTGTCATTTACTTATCTGTCCTTCTATCCAACAGACATTAGCTCCAAGAAGCAGGCCCTCAGCTGTCCTGGTCACTGCTATACCTCCAGCTCCTAGAAAAATGCCCATTCACAGTGCCCATGTGACAATTAGCTGGTGGATAAGACAGGACAAGGTGGAAGGGCCATGCAGGGCCTGGGGTCCTGGAGGGCCAAGCAAAGCCATGCAGTGTCTGGGGCCTGGCGGCTGAGCCATGCAGAGAAGGTCCGTCAGGTGGTGAGGCCCTGGGTGCAGTTTCAACAGCAAGTGGTTATTTACCTGAAGCCTTGGTCCCTCCCAGGCAGGGCAGCGTGTTGGGCAGAAAGGGTTGGGGTTAGTGCAGCCCTGAGTGCTGCTGTGGGCTGTGGCGGGGATCGGGGCCCAGGCACACACCTGGCTCTCCACAAGCATGGCCATGTCCATGAACATGTCGTGCAGCTCACGGATACTGTTCTCCAGCTTAATGATCTCGCTGTGCCGCGTCTCAATCTCGCTCAGGGCCTGCTTCGAGATGCTGGAGTCCATGATGATCTAAGGGATGGGAGCAGTGGGCTGGAACTCAGGTGTCTGCTGAAGGGAGCAGGGGCAGGGACTGGGACCAGGACAGCAGGAGGCCAAGTGCCAAGGCAGCTGGGATGGGCAGTGGCAGAAGCAGGGCCTGAGGCTTCCTCCTTAGCCATAGCCCTCCCTCCAATCTCCGCTCAGCTCTTACTAGCTGTTACCCTAACTTCTCTGAGATTCGATTTCCTACCTATAATATGGGGCTATTAACACTCCCTACCTGTGCTTGCACATGGTAACTGCTAAGTGGTGGTTCTCATCACTAGCATTGTACAGAGCTCAAGATGACTGCCCCATGAACTGCCTTTCTCCTATCCCCTCTCCTCCTGTTCTTCCTCCTGCACTGACTGTAGCTGCCCCTCCCCTCTCCTGGAACTGATAGCCCTAAACCACCTCCCCATCTGTGTGCTGCCTCCTGCAGGAAGCCCCCTGCTCAGCAGAGCAGAGCTTCACTTGAATGTAGGGAAGGCCAAGGGCACTGTGTCCTCCAAGAGGGGAAAAAGGTCCTGAGGATGGTGGGGGGAGGCCCTAAGCCAGTGGTGAAAGGGCAGGAGTAGCAAGGAAGTGGACCCAACAGGGAGAAACCAGGAGACCTTTGCCACTAACATTTATGTGATCTTGACCTGGTCCCTTCCCCTCTGTAGCACTCGGCCTTCTCTAAAACCTACCTCACAAGGTGGCTGTGTCCAAATACTTCCCAGTGAGTGCAAGCACGTAGCTCACACACCAGGGTCATGGTAGGAGGGGCTCCCCGTGGAAGGGTGGGGTCCACACTCACCCCAGAGGCAAAGATGGCCGGGTTCCCACTCTCCAGCATGTCCTCTAGCTCCTCACTGGTCGTGGTCCTGCCAGCTGCAAGCAGGGGTCACATTGAGGGACGCCCTCCCCCAGGGAGCTCAGCAGCAGTCCGGTCCTGCCTGGCCCCTCAGCTCCAGCCCTGCCCCCACACTCACTGATCTCCAGCTGCCTCTGGATGCGGCCCTTGCAGCGCTCCCGGTAGTCAGACTGTGTTGCGTTGTACTCAGACATGACTTCCACAAACTTCCGGGACAGTGTGGAGTGCTGGAGGTCAGAGATAGGGGTGCAGGTGTCAACCCATCCCCACAGGCCCCAGAGCCTCAGATGCCTGCTGCCCACCTGAGTCCCAGCCCTCACCTGTGTCTTCCGGATCCTCAGGTCAGCAGATGAGCGGTTCAGGCCTTCCTCTTGCTCAATGCTCTGCTCTATGCCTGGGGGAACAGATGGCTGCTGAGCCATAATCTGCCCCCATTCACCACTGACCCCCTGACCCACACCCCCAGAATCTGGCTCAGGAAGACTTGTGTGGCCTGTGAGTGGGGTGACACAGGAAACAGGAAGAGGGAGGGCCAGGAGCTGATGGATAAAGGGCCAACAAGGGCCCTTCCAGGCATGATGCATGTGTGGGTGTGTGCACATATGTACACCCACTTGGGAGGCCTGAGGCACATACCAAGCTGTGTGTGTGAGTGTCTACTATATGCTAGGCCTGGTGGCTCAGGCCCACCCTGTCCTCTCCTGCTCACCAAGGCTGTACACCCACCCAACAAGGGGTCATGCCCAGAGTGGAGAGGGCCAGGTTCCCGCGACCTTCAGGACACGGCGCTCCTAGGCCTGTGCATTCCGGGCGTGCCTGTCTGTGCTCACACAGCACATAGGGGCTTCTGTTTGGGACCAGGCAGTGCTGGCCATTCCTCTAACCCTCTTAGGTGCCCAGAGTGGAGCACTCCCTAAACGTTAAGCCTCAGGCATTTGTCCCAAGGCCCTGCCCAGAGCCTAGCACAAACAGACCTGCCAGGTAACTGCTGGGTAAATGGCGCATGATGGCAGCCTCATAAAGGAAAGTAAGAGCCAATGTACCCCCCCCCCCAGGGTTGGTGAAACCCCGCGGGCTGCGTGGAGGAAGCAGGCCTGGAGTTCCTCCCACCCTAGACAAGGCTGGAGCCCAGACTCACTCTTCAACTTGGAGCGCACTTTGTTTGCTGTCTTCTTTATGTCAGACATGAGTTCCTCCAGCTCCTCCTTTGTCTCTGTGGAGGCAGAAGGGTAGAGGTAGGCACCCTGGTAGGAATCCCGGCTCACCCTCCTGCACTGGGGTCCTGCTGATGGTGGTCTCTGGACAGACCCCGGGTCCTGGGTCTCCTGTCTTCCCTGGGTAAGGCTCTGCCTGCCTCTCCGATCCTGGGCCAGGGCCATACCAGCTGCAGCCTCACACCCTCTTGTGCTGCCTTCCAAGGAGCCTCCCTTCTTTTGCTGGCTCTCCCACCCCCTGCAGATAACAGATGGGTCTAAATTTAAGGCAGAAATAATTGTGGAGCAGCTGGTGATGCTGGAGTTGGCACTGGGAGCACTTACTTGATACTTGCCTGAGTCGGAGGGGGGTGGAGGGGGGTGCAGGTTCACCTAGTGTTACCTGGTGGTAAGCATCCAGCCAGTGGGCTGACAGGGCCAAGGGCCAGGGAGGCGGAAGCCAGCCCCCACATCAAGCACCCTGGCTGGGGCAGACCTTTTTCCATTCACAAAGCCCCCCTCCCCAGGTACTGAGCTCAGTGGAGGCCAACTGCTGAGTGCCCAGTGGGTGGATAGGGGCAGGAGGCACCTGGCCTGGGTGGGAGGTGGAGAAGAACTTCAAAGAGGTGGGCCCCCTGGGGCACAGTTGGCCATGGAGGTAGCAGGCAGCTGGGCCTATGAGACAAATTGGGGGAGGGCAGTGGCTGGTATTTCTGGCCCTTGTTCCAACTGGAACCATCTCCCTAAAGCTGGCAGAGGCTATGAGGGTGCCCAGGCTGTCCCACTCCCTATGAGGGGTTGACTGGCGAAGTGGGGCAAGATGGCTGCTTCCCTCTGGGGTGCTGAGTGGAGTAATGGGTCCTGACCCCAGCCTCAGGGCAGCCCCCAGGCTCCACTCCCTGGAGAAACCAGAGCTGAGCTGGCTGCAACCTTTCTCATCCACCCGATGCTTGCCTTCAGGACTGGGGCTTCTTCTACAGGGGACTGGGGAGGGGCACTCACTCCCAAGTGGAATATGAGTGAGGTGAAGTGGGGGGCTTTGGGGAGTGGAGGAGGGCGCCTCATTTGTATGAACAAAGGAAAACTTGGTTACCAGCTGCTCTGACGTCTCAGCCTTTTTAGTTCAGACCCAAAATAGCCCAGCCCGGATGGCAGCCCCCAGAGGCAGAGCAAGCCTCAGCCCAGGAAAGCCTCTCCCCGCCATCTTTCCTTGTGACTCCTCCTTACCTCTGCTCACCTCTACCCTAGAACCCGTAACTTTACTCAGCTCACATCAGTGGCCTCCTGACTGTTCGGCTCATGGGCGGCAACTCCGAATTGGTCGCTACTGACAGTTTGATGGGAAGAAGTGCCGCAGGTGGCACAAGGGAGTTAAGGAGGGGAGCTAGGCAGCTCCGTTGCCCCATGTCGCCCCACTTTCCAGCAGGTGAGAGACCAGATCACTAGCTCTTTATAGTTCCTGCCCTACAATCAGCCCCGTTTTCACCAGGAGTTACCCACCGGGAACACACACTGACCCAGATACCCATGGGCACACAAAGCATGTCACATGCGGCCATCCCAGACAAGCCTCTTGGGAGAGGGGTGAAACATGATGACTGCACTGGATACATGCCCTGCTTTGGGTGGTCTCTCTCTCCTTCCCACCCCTTCCTGAGACATTTTGCCTTCCAAGGGCTTGGGGGGCGTGGCATTGGCCTCGGGTTTAAGCACACTTTGGGGCTGTGGAGAGATTTTTTTCTGGGTGCTTGAGGATGCCTGTGGGCCTGCAGGTGAGGGGCCATAGAGAGGGAGGCAGTGCTGGAGATGAGGCTGAAAGCAAGCTCTCAGTGCCTTGGGTGGCAGGCTGTGAGTCCTGGCCCCCATCACTGCCTCCGTGGGGGCTGAGGGTAAGCCCTGTCCAGGGGAGGGGGTCTCTGGCCTGCTGCATGTTGTCAGACTGGCACATAATAGTGTAGTAATCAACACCTCAATAGGAATTGTGACAGTCAGATCAGGGGGACCTGTCTGGGGACAGAGTGGCATGCAGACACACACAGGCTCCTTGTGCAGAGGGAGAGGTGACTTCCTGGAGCCCTGAGAATGTCTGGCTCTGGAGTCCCAGTGGCCAGGTGTCAGGGCTGCCAGCTCCTTCCGGAAGCTCTGCCTGCTTGGCCAGCTTGCCCTCCCACAGTGTTGATGCCTCAGCGCTGCCATCTGCTCCCCAGGGAGGTGAGGGGAAGGGAGGGGCTGGGCTGAGAGGCCTCCTATTCATCAGAGGCAGCTCCCCAAATCCCAGTGCTGCAGCCAGCCTAGCAGCCTTAGAAAAAAAGCCCCATTACCCGGGGAGAGCAGGCTGGCTACCTGACCCCACCCAGGCCTGAGGAAAGCCACCCCTTCCACAACATTTGCCTGAGACCCAGGTCCAGGGGGTGATACTTACTGGGCACTGACCACCCCCAACCCAAGGCCTGGGACAGCTGTGTTTCCTGAGGTTCCCATGGAGCCCTCCCCAACCTGGCCAAGCCCAGGTGCCGCTCCCAGGCAGCAGCGCCTTCTTCCTGGAGGCCTATGTGGCCTGAAACTCGCCCCTTACATCCATCTACCCACTCACTCTCATCAGGGTTCGGGGAGGCCAGGATGGCACTGTGCTTCCGCTTCACCTCTTCCACATTCTCTGAGATCTTGTCAATGAAGCCGCGGATTTCCTCCACCTGTGGACCAAGGTAGGGTGGTCAGGAGAAAATCCAGGGACAGGGCTTCCTGGGCCCATGGCTTGCCCAAGTGGGGCCGGAGGTCAGGCTCAGGGCCAGGCTGGGCCGGCCTTCCAGTGGTAGTGGTGGGGGTGGCTGCTCCAAGTTTCTTCTAGACCAGGGTCGGGAAGAGTGGGGCGGTCCAACCCCACGTTCTGCTCCCCACTGGACTTCAGTCTACTCAACCTCAAAATGGGTTCATTAATTGGTGCCCAAGAGCTGCTGAGCCAGGCACAGATGTGTAAGGGTCCTGGGCCTGGCTCAGAAGTGACACGTGGTCACCCAAGGCCTGCCAGTATATGGGGAGAGGTGGTGTGTGCTGGCTCCCACCTGTTCGAAGAACTCATCCATGAAGCGATCTCGGTCCACGGTGACAGTGACATCATCATCATCATCGCTGTCCTTGGCCTGTACAGAGGTGTGCACACGTGAGTGGACCTGTGGTAGGACCACTAGGTCCCACTGGACCTGCGACCCCAAACTGCCTGGCATCCGTATAACGCAGGCTTGCAGGCTGCAGCTCCAGGGCCCTGACCACGCCCCTCTGCCCGTTGGCAGGGAGGAGGCCTGACTGTGCCCTCATCCAGCTACACTGAGACCTGGGAGATCCCTGGTGACCCAGTAGAAGGAAAGATGCCTTGCCTGTCTAGTTGGTGATGGGGCTAAGTCGCTATCTCCAGGCCAGGGACTCCGTCCCCTGCCCAGCTGCCTACCTCTTCCCCAAAGGACTGGGGTCCTCCCAGCACCTCCCTCACTCTAGGGTGCCACTCGGAGGCCATGCCACTGACTGGGCAAGAAAACCTGAGGGTTTGGTCCCTGGGCCAATGGCTCCAACTTTCAGACCTTGCCTGAGACAGGCTGCTTGGAAGCCAGGGTTGATTACTCTCCTGGCTGGGAGTTCCCAAGCTCCCTTTCCTGAGAGCGCCCTGGAGGGGAATGCCTGGGCTGTGCCAGGCCTGGACATCACCACCACCTCCCTCCTAAAAGGTTGGATGGCTCAGACACAGGCCATCCCCACAGTGCCCCAGACAGGCCTGAGAGAGACTGCCTGTGCAGGGCTCTGCCACGTGCCAGCTTTGTCCACTCAACCCTCTCGGGATCCTCTCTCCTCGTCAGTCTTGACACTGGATCTTGACCCTCTTGCTTTCCTGGCCCAGAGCTGGGCCCAGCAGGGACAAGAGGCCAGTCGTGTTGCCACTTGGCTCAGGGCCTGCCTTAGGCCTCAGCCACAGGTTCAGGCTCCACCCGGCTGCCCCAGGAGCAGCCATACAAAAGCCACCCCCATCACAGGATGGGGGTAATTACACCTCGGACTTCCCAGCATGCTGGCTATGTTCATTACTGTCCACCCCGCAACTTGACTCCGCCAGGGTCAGCCCACTGTGCCGGTAAGCCTAAGGTCCCTCTCCACAGCCAAAGCCGGGATCCCCAGGGCAGGACCACCCATCATCCCTCAGACCGAGGTTCTGGGGCTCAGTCATGCCTTCTCACTTCTCAACACCCCACAGGGAGGAGGCACTGGCTGGCTGGGCCCTGGCCCTCACGTCAAGGACACAGGATGGAGGCAGGCGGAGGCTGAGGGGATGGAGAAGCAGAGGGCTCCATCAGGCTGGGCCCAGCACAGACACTGGCTGGCTGAGGGACGTCCCCTGTGGGTCTGTTTGCTCCTCTACAAAATGGGGACAATGACACCGGGCTGCAGGGAGGGAGGGCTGAGGAAGGGTGGGGAAGCATAGCATGCTCTGTAAAGGGCTGTGCCCGTGGGGCTCTCAAGGTCCCACTACCCACCAAAGTGGAGTTTGGGTAGGAGCTTCATGGAGACGGCTCTGAGGGGCCTCTTTTATCAAGAGATCATACCTCCCCGAGAAGTTAAAATAAATCCTGGCTCCTACAAGTGCCTGCAGCTGCTACCAGGTGGTCCCCTCTCCCCCACCAAGCCCACCTATAGACACAGGGAATCTAGGAGCCATTCCCACAGTTTTCGACCATGCCTGGCCCAGGAGTTGGGCTAGAGGAGCACTTTCTAGGGAGACCGAGGTGGAGTGCAGCCTGGAAGAGCCCAGTTCCCTTTCCTGGGCAGCCTGTCTGGTTGGCAAGGGGCCCCAGGAGCTCCTGGCATTCAGCGTCCTGCCCGATCTGTTCTTCTGGTGCCAGAGTAGGATGGGGTTGACCTGAAGGGGCAGGAGGAGAATTTTCAAGCTCCCTTCCCAGAAAGAGTAATGACCAGCCAGGGCCACAGACAAGGGCTCCTGAGCCACCAGAGACGAGAGTCCTTGCCAGATGCCCCTGGGATCTGGGCTGGTGCCCCTCTGTGGGCCCCAGCTTGCCCATCTGTGCAATGAGGACCTGTCTTCTCCAGGCATCCAGCCAGCTCTGACCTGCTACCTTCACAGCCTCCCCAGAGGACTGAAGGCTGGACTTGGGTAGTTCTCAAACAGAAGGTTGGCAGGAGAGATGCCCACACCCTCTGGGCTCTCCGTCTACGAGGGCAGAGCTGGAGCAAGGGATACTTGGGGCCAGGGTCTGACGGGCACCCAGGTTAGGGCATTCAGACTGGCCTCAAAGCCAATTAAGAGGGTTTAGGTCGTGACCTCACAGCTTTGCTTAAACTATCCGTGGCTCCAAGCAAAACTTTGAGGGGATGCTCCAAGGGGACCCTTCCTTACCAAACCCTACTACTTCCTCCTTAGGACTTTTCACCCCCACCTGCCTCTTTATCTCACTGTCCCAGCCTGAAATCTGATCCGAGCACACCTCACCTCTCACAGGCTCCCTGTCCCTACAATGCACCCACTGTCCTCCCTTCTTTCCCCATGCAGTTCCTGCTGCCTGGGATGCTGACATTCCCCTCATCCTTGGATGCCACCTCCTTCCAGAAGCTTTCCCCTGCTCCCCAGGGGCAAGACTTCTGGAAGGAGACTTCCTCTCACGCCTCTGGTTCCCACAGGAGCCACAGCCAGACTCTCAGACCCTAAGGGACCTGAAAAGTCACCTTGCACAGCTTCCAGTCTCAGCTTGCATACCTCCTGTGACGGCTCACTAGCTGTCCCGGCAGCGCTGCCCATCTTGGGCAGCCCCAATTGTTAGAAAATCCTTCCCTTTCTTGTGGTTTGGTCCAGGCCACAAAGAACGTGTTGGTGCCCTCTCCCTGGGCTGGCGGTGCCAGAGATCTAAAAGCAGCATCCACATCCTCCCTGGGGTTTTCTTCTCAAGTTGACCTTTCCTTCCCCTTCAGATTCTTCCCAGGGGCCCTAAATTGTAGCTCCTGCCCCAGACTTGTTCAGCTTGGCCTGTCTTCCCCTGTAGTGCAGGATACAAACTGAATCTGCTGTTGACTATGGTCTGAGCAGTGCCAAAGAGCTGACCCATCCCCTCCTTCTTTCTACATATTCTACCTCTGTTAATGCAGCCAGAGATCACAAAAGTGATCCTACAGCACTTCCTGCCATGGAAAGTCCCAAGCCCCTTCCCACTAGTCTTGGTTGGATTCTGGGCTCAAGTAACGGAACTTCTTTCTGTTTCATTTCTTTATTTATTATGATCCTTGTTCTAGTTTGTGAGAATCTGATGGCTCGTGACTCTGTTGCCTCCTACAATCTCATCCACATTTAGGCCAGAGCCCTGTGACCCCTTTCTAGAGATTTCCTCCAGATTAACTCAGACCCCTAATAACTTCTCACTGGACACTGAATAAATGACAAGGAAGTAAGATACCAGCCTCCTTACCTCCCCTGCCCCAAATTCAGACATGCTCCTGACCAAAAAGCAACTTGGAACTAGTGTCTTCCTAATGTCCTGGGCTGGCCAGGGTGGACATCGTACACATGCACAAAGCGGGCACCTGTTGAATGAGTAGGGCCCCAGCTCCCTTGGGACTCCACCAACCCTCTCTGAGTGGCAGTCACAGCTCTGGAAAGAGGGTTGGGTAGGAGGTGGCAGATGTGGGACAATTAATTACAAGCTCGGAGGTCCAAACATCTTTTGGATCAACCCACCTAGACATCGTGAGGGCTCCCTGCCAGCTACCTGACCCAAATTAGGCTCTACCTCTTTCTCCTGAACCCCCTCCTGTGAAGCCCCTGCTCAGAACCCCCCCGCCCCCGTTCCTAAGGGGCCCTCAAATCTGAAACCAGGAGGCATCCATACTCTTCCTCCTCCTCTCACATCCAACCAACGTCTGATTTGTCCTGGTGTTTTCTGTTCATCCTGCAGTAGTTCTCAACCCCAGTCCAACACCAGCATTCCTTGGGAGGATTTGGGAAACGCCCTGCAGGGTCCTAGCCTAGAGAGATCAACTCAGAATTTACGGAGGTGGGGCTGGGGAGGCGAAGTTCATGGTCTCCTGGAATTGAGAACCACTTGTCTGGTCTCACTCCTGTCGGACCCGCTGGCTGTCTCGCTCCAGCTTCACCACCTCCAGCCTGAGCAACCAGGAATGAAATCCGGGGGGGGGGGGGGTGTGAGAAGGGTGCTGTCCTTGCCACGGCAAGAGAAGATCCTGCTAGAACCAGCTAGAACCACTGGCTGGCAGGAAACCCTAAGCTTCCCCTAGTGGAGGCCAGGCAGCCCTGGTGGTCTCTCCTGGCAGAGGCTCTAGGGTTCCAAGGATACCTTCTTGGAAACAAGAGTTTGCTTCCTCCAAGAGGCTTGGAGGGCCAGGCAGCTTCCAGGCCTGTCCCCAGGGATGGCAGCAGGCCAGCCGGCAGGGTTGATTCATTCCTGCTGAGCAGGAGTTGCTGTTGTCTGCCTTGAGGGCTATTTTTTCCCCTTCTTCTTTTTAATGACTAATCAAAGTCAATATCACTAGAGCAGCGAGGCCCAGAGCTGAGTCAGGGGTGTGTGAGACGCTGAGGTGGGTCTCTAGGAAAGAGGGCTCTCCCGTCTGAATCCCTTCACCCTCTCCCTATCCTGTGTGCTCCCTCCTCCACCAGACAGATCTCTGCTCTCAGCAGGGTCTGTGCCTTAGCAGAGCCCCAGCACAGCTCAGGGTGGCAGGTGCAGGCGGTGGAAAAGGGCTGGGCTCTGCCCTCAGACATTGTGTGATCTCGGATAAACCCCTGGCACTTTCTGGATCTCGGTTTTCCAATTTGTAAGACAGAAGGATGAACTAGATAGCCCCTGAGGGCCATTCCAGCTGCACCCCAGATGAAAATGTGCCCAAATCCACTGTTTCTTCTGGGAAGAGGTAATTGGAAGGAGAGCGGAAGGGAGACACCACCCTGGGCCTTTACTTACACCCCCATTTCTTCTAATCTGCAGGGCAGATCCTGCTAGTTCCACTGTACGGATGAAATGAGCATAGAGGTTATGGCATAAACCTGCCTCGTGTTAACCCCAGGACATCCAGTTTCTTTCCAGGAGAGAGAACAAATGAACTGGTGGGCAGAGGGAGGCACTGGGCTTCGCATCCAGGCCTGCCCTGGCTGCTCAGTGGGCTGGGCCCCACTCTAGACCAGGTGTCAGGACCACCCATCATTCTCTCTTGGTTGGGCATTCCCACCTCCCTGCCTTTCCTCACGCTGCTCCCTCCTTTTGGACCACCTCTCTCCTCCCCTTCAAATCAAACTCTTTCTCTTGGGCCATCCTAAATCCTCTTCTTCCAGGAAGGCTTTTTCCAGGGTCTGGTCATGCTGACCCTCCTCTCAGTCCTCTGGCTCCTGCAGCAGGTCCCAGGTGTCCCACAAGGCCTAGTATGTAGATAAACACTGTTCTGGGGCAGGGAGGCCTCTGAACTGGGAGACGTAGGCAGCTGCATGCCAGGCAGGGCTGCCTGGGTCACCTAGCCCCCAATCCCAGTTGTGTGACTTGTGCTAGTGTTTGTCCCTCTTAGGCCTCTGGTTGCCCTTCTGATCTCTGAGGGCTGCCTACAATGTCGAGGCCTCCACACTGGCCTCGATGATCCCTTCATTCTCCATCTGGACAGTAGGATCAGCCCTATGAGAAACAGGGGCTGGAGAAGGCTGGAGGCCTGGGCCTGGCCTGCAGCGCGCTGCGGAAACATGCCAGCTCCTTCCCCAAGTGTGACTTTTATAAATAAGCTCCCTTCGCCTGTCTTCCTTCCAAATGTGGTGGCGTTGGGTGGGGAAGGAGGAGGAGGGGGAAGGGGGTGATGCAAGTAGCTGTCTCAAGCACCACCTCTGTCTAGTGCTGGCCTCCTGGTTTCTGGGGTTCTGGTCTGAAAATTCTGACCCCTGGGGTTCAAGGTCTCCCCCCAAATATGGAGTCAAGAGTCAGAAGACCCGTGACCTCCCCTCTTGCCCTGAGAATTTGGGTTCTGGGTTTTCCTGCTCCACTCCATAGACGGGAACTTGAGGCCGAGAGGGAGACAGGTGGGAATGGCAGGCCCAGTGGAGACTAACTGTTCCACCCCATCCAGTGTGGGTTCTTGTCAGCCCCCACCCCCCAGGCTGCTAGAAATACTTAATGGACAGGGCCACCCAGAAATGAGGACAACAGCCTTCATGGGCTCCGAATGCCTGAGGGGTGGGGCCTGGAGAGAAAGCCTCCATCAATTCACAGAGAAACCAGGCCTTACCATCTAAGGGCCACCCTGACTAGTGGGGGGCGGGGGGAGAATGTCACAGAGACACACAGCAGAGCAACAGACCTGGTTTCAAGCTCCCTGCAACCCAAGCTTTCCCAGGGGTCCCCCAGTCCCAGCCAGGCATTCCCAAGGGTCCCCCAGTCCCAGACAGGCCTAAGTCTGCCCGTCTTCAGGATTAGGCAAAGCTCCTTTCTACCATCCCTCTTGATCTACCAGGCAAGCCACTTGCTTTCTTGTGCCTCAGTTTCCCGTTCAGCAAAGGGGATGAAGGGTGATGAGACAGGTGTCCTGTCAGATGTAGAGGACTGTGTTCCCTCTGACCATTGGTTCCCACATATATCCTCGTCTGACCCACCAGGCACCCAAACATCAGCAAATGCACCACCCAGCCATTTATTGCAAAGATAACACTCTTTCTGACACAACGGAGCACAGGAAACTTGAGGGCAACCACAAGGGCTGGCAGGGAAGTGTTTAGACACCACATACGACATGAGGGACCATCTTCTTCCTTTGAAACCTCCTGAGGTTTACCCTGGGGGCTGGGCCTTCAGCCAGGAAAAACACAGGTCTGTCGGTAGGGTGGGGGCTGGCAGCTAGAGCAAGGGGGAAATGGAGACAGGAGAGCACAGGTCTCAGACCCAGGCTGTGTGTGTGTGTGTGTGTGTGTGTGTGTGTGAGCGGGGGAGGGGGGGGGGGAGGAATAAGACTGGTATAATGGGGGGTGATGCAGGTACAAACGTAGGGAGGCTCTGGGCAGTGAGGACAAGCCATGGGATCAAAAGTCCAGAGGATGCTTGAAACTTTCCATATGAGGGGACATAGGTCGCTGGCTCCAAGCCGGACAGCAGGAGTAGGATTCTAGGGAGCCACTGAGCTAGGGCTCCCCCAGAGATCAGCAGGCAGGGACTGCCAGCAGTGTGGTCAGCCAGGGCATCAGAAGAAATTCAGCCAGGTCTAGAGCCCTGATAGCCCTCCCTCCCCACAGGCAAGCTTCATTTCCTTCACTGCCCCCCACAAGCCCCAGGCTTGCCATCCCTAAAGGGAGAGGTGTGAACGTCGGGCTAAAGGGCAGAAGCCAGGGGAAGGGGCGGGGCTGTGGAAGAGGAATAGGTGGCAGAGGTCTCTGTCAGGGCTGGGAGGGGGTGGGCTCTGACTCACAACCTTTGCACATCCTCCTACTCCCCCCAAACTTCGCCCCAGGAGCCTCTGAGACGCAGGTGGAAAAATAGGTTCAGGTCGGAGTCGGACCAGAGAACCCCGGAAGGGTCTGGAAACGTCAGCCCAGGCTGCCTCGAAGCCAGAAAGGTGGACCGGGGGCGGGTCTGACGCGTTCCGCACCCCGGCGGGCAGCAGATCCTGATCGCGACCGGGTGGGGAGCTACAGGTGATGGGAGCTACAGGTGAAGGGAGGTGATGGGGGCGGCGGGGCGACGGGGTGCCCCGCGAGCCAGCGCCCGCCGGAGAAGCCCGGCCCCACCCGACCGCCCGGTTTCCGCAGCGCATCCCGCGACGGGGCTCTGGACAGGGGATCGCCCCGGACCCTTCACACCTCGGTCCCGCTGTCTGTACCAGAGCGGGTAAAGGAGGGTCAGTGATCTGGCACGGTGTGGGGACAGAGACCGGATCTGCTCCGCGGACCGGGAGAGAGGTCGGGCTTCTGTCCTGCCACCAATATCCAATTAAATACCACTCCGACCCCCTAAAACAAGGGGACGCCCAAAACTTTATTCAGTTCCCCTGACTCCAGGCGCCAGCCCGCGGGCCAAAGAGGCCGAACTCACGCCAGTCCGTGACCCCGAGTAGGTCCGAGGGGTGGGACTCGTTGGAGGGGTCGGGGTCCCCGGCTCCGCCCCACTCCCTCCCGCCCCGGCCGGGGACGCAGGCGCTGCCACCCGGGTGACCGCCAGAGCGATTCCGGACGGGTTGTGGCCCGCGCGCTGGGCGAGCAGCGAGCTGTAACGCGCGGGGGCCGGACTCACCGTGCGGAGCTCCTGGGTTCGGTCCTTCATGCTCCCGGGAGTGGCCACGGAGCCGGCTGCAGCCTTGTGAGCCCCGCATGCGCGGCGGCCGCCCCGCGGCTGCGCAGCGCCAGCCCGGCCCCGCCCCGGCCCCCGGGACCCCGGCCCAGCCCCCAGCCCGACCCCGCCCAGCGCCGGCCCCGCCTCTCCAGGCCCCGGCCTAGCGCCGAGATCTGGGAATCCTACTCCTTGCCCCCAGCCCCATCGGAGTCCTCTGTTGGGTCCAACACCTGGAACCTAGCCCGCTGTGTTCTAGACGCGTGATCCCTGCCTGAGATGGGACCCCAGGGCCCTTGCTCTCTTACCTGCCCCAACTCCCTCTTGACTTAGCTGCTCAGCATCCCTCGTTCTGGACCCTGGAAGATCCATCTTCACCCCCAGGGCCCCTCACATCCTTGGGGATTTGCTGGAGGTGGGATCCCCCCTCTTGATTTTATTGCTTGGAACTTCCAGCAGCCCCCTCCAAAAACCTCTTCCAGAGTTCCAGCCTCTGAGCCCCTGCCATCCCTACTTTCTCCCATTATCTCACCCATTCAGGCTCTTGCCCCCTCTTTCCCCAGGATTTTTCCGTTCACAGGTTTAATGCTGGATGACCACTCCTTTCCCTTTAGTTTTCACTCCCAGCAGAATGCAGGAACCCTTCTATTTTATAAGGAAGGGGGATCTAAGTTGTAGTCCCCTCTCCTTACCCCTTCCCTGCTTTGCCAACCTTGAGCTCCAGTCCCAAGCCTGAGACCCTAGAAGCTGGGACCCGCTCCCTCTGGCACTGATGGGAAGACCTTAGCAGTACTGTAGAGGGATGGTAGGTGGGGGCTAGTCAGTAGCAGATGCTTCTTTTCTGGCCCCTGCCAGGATCTTGTTGGGACAGCAGCCACACACACACTCCAGTTGTCCCTTCTGTGCCCTGGCCCAGACCCTCTTGACCTCAAGCTAAGCACTGCCCCTTCCCTTTCCCAGGGCTGCCAAGGTGTTGCTCTGGAGCTGGGCCAGCCCCCTGATGCCCAGTGCGTCCGGCCTGGCACTTCTCCCAGACTGTGGGCACAGGTTAATTGGCTGGCAGACAGTCTGGAGACACTGTTCCAGCCATTGCTCCTTCCCTAGAAATTCTGGCCCAAGACTAGCTCAGGTGTAGCATGGCATGAGAGACAGCCACACCCCTTCCAGTTGTCCAGACCTCAACCTTGAGTGTCCCACAGAACAAGTATTGGTGGTGCCTCATTTGACAGATGCAAAACAAGGACTCACTTGCTAGAGGGACTTGCTCAAGGTTACAGGGAACAAGTGGCAGGGAAAGTGCTGCCTGACTCCTGGTCCAGAGTAGCATGATTCAGTGGAGTGGGTCATGGGTGTACCCCAGAACCAAACGCCTGGCCCTGCACGGAGAGGGCAGGAAGGGGAGACAACAGCTCTAGCCCTCAGAGAGCACCAGTGTCAGGCCAAGTATCGCTTATTGAAACGCATATTAAATGGTAGCATGAAAAATAAATAAAGAATGAAAATGTGCCCTTCACCTTAAACTCTGCCTTTCCGATAGAGGTCTTACTCCCATTCAGTAACTTATTCATTCATCAAACATTCTCTTGGACACCATGCTCTAGTGTTACTGTTCTGTAAGGTGCTCCTAGTGTAACAAGAGAGACAGACATGATTTCAATATGTGAGGGACCCAGGGTGGCTTCCCAGAGGCAGTGATGTTCGAGCTGTGTGTTGGAGGAGTGGGGTTGCAGTAGGGGCTATCGCAGGCTTTCTGGACAGAGAAAGGAGTGTGCCCAAAGACACTGGGGTGAGGGTGAGGCAGCATTTGGAGAATCTCAGGTGTGAGGGTGAGCGTGGGTGGGAGATGAGTGAGGAAGGCCTTGAATGTTAAACTTTATTGTACAGACAAGGAGGAGACAATCAAGGATCAGACTTTCATTCCTTTCATCGAAAGTATTGATTCAGAATTTACTATGTGCTGACTGTTCTAGATGTCGAGGATGTGGCAGAAAACAAGACCAACAAAAGTCCTTGCCCTCATGGAGTCCACATTCTAGTAGAGGAAAGAGATGGTAAGCAAACAAACAAATAATATATAATGGTGATAATGTGCTATGGAGAAGATAAAGTAGGAAAGAAGGGGTAAGGGGTGCTGGGTTCAAGGCAGGATTCCAATTTTAAATTAGGTGGTCAAGGAGGACTGAGATGGTGGCATTAGAGTACAAGCTCGGACAATTAAGTTCATGAACTCATCCTAGAAAAAGTGCTACATACCTTATTGCTGAATATCACTATGGTCACCTTTGAAGTACTCTTCTTGGGAAGCTATGCAATGACGCCAGTGCCTAGTCCACCCTTCAAAGCAATTTTGGAACTCTTTCTGAAATGGTCAGAGCTATAGTCGTATTACCCTTGATATCCTGAATGTCATCAAAATGTCTTCCTTTCAATATTTCCTTTCTCTTTGGGTAAAGAAAGAAGTCATTGGGGGCCAGATCAGGTGAGTAGGGAGGGTGTTCCTATACAGTTATTTGTTTTCTGGCTAAAAACTCCTTCACAGACGGTGCCGCCCTGTGAGCTGGTGCATTGTCGTGATGCAAGAGCCATGAACTGTTAGGGAAAAGTTCAGGTCGTTTTTGTCTTTTTCACTCAGCCTTTTCAGCACTTCCAAATAGTAAACTTGGCTAACTGTTTGTCGAGCTGGTACAAATTCATAATGAATAATCCCTCTGATATCAAAAAAGGTTAGCAACATCGTTGCAATGAGTTCGCGAACTTAATTGTCAGACCTTGTAAATATTTGAAAAAGGTGAGGAAGTGAAATGTGTATGTCTCAGGGGAAAAGCATTCTGGGCAGAGGGAACATCAAATGCAGTGATCATGAGCAGGGAACATGTTGGAGAAACAGCAAGAAGGCAAGGATGCTTGCAGCATAGTGAGTGAGGAAGCGCTCAGAGGAGGTGAAGTCAGAGAAGTCGAGGGAGGGGCCGTATAAGCAACGGAGTCCTTTGGCTTTTACTCTCTGAGTAGGATGGGAACCACAGGAGGGTTTTGAGCAGAGGAGGCACATGATCCATCTTGGGCTTTAACAGGATTGCTCTGACTGTTGGGTGGCGAATAGACTGAAGGGGACACGGAGGAAGCAGGGACATCATTTAGGAAGTGGTTGCAATAATTCAGGTGGCTGGGACAAAGGTGATGACAGTGGTGGTGGTAAGTGGTCATGTTCTGGATACATTTTAAGGTCAGAGCCAACTGAGAAAAAAAGAAATCGATCTCAAGGATGCCTAGAGTCAAGGGAGGTGGGAAAGAACTAGAGAAGAAGCAGGTTGGGGTAGGGGCAAATCAGGATTTGGGGTTTGGACCTATTAAGTTTGAGTTGCCCACTAGACAGCCCAATGGGGAGGGCAAGTAGGCCATTGCCCACGTAAGTCTGGAATGGGTGTGGCCAGCATAGAAGGTTCTTAAAGGGGAAGAGGCCCCTCTGGAGCAGTGTGGAGGACAGCTGGAAAACTGCTGTGGTATCCAGGAGAGGGACCAGGGACTGTGACTGTCTGAACAAAAATAGGACCCATTGGGCTGGAGTAAAAGTTCAAAGGCATTCAAGAGATTTATTTAACATAGTATACTTTATTTCAATTATCAAAATAATATGTTTGTTGCAAAACATGAAAACAATGACATATATCATGAATTAGAAGCACCCGCCCTGGTGACTGACCATACGCAGATGAGAGCACAATTGGCACCGGGAGGAGTAGCCGATGAGGGCAGGTGAGGAGTTCAGACAGCGATTTGTAGCCCCAACATCCAGGGAGACATGTAGATGGTCGATAGGAGCTGGAGTGGAACACCAGCTGGAGACTTGGGAGGCAGGAGTATCTGGTTTGGGGTGGAGATGCAAGTTGCAGGCCACAGTCCAGAGTGTGTGTATGTGTGTGTGTGTATCTATGGGAGAAAAAACAAGGGCTGAATGTGGAAGTAGAATGCTCCTTACAGGTGAGGGATGGGCAGAGACAGAGGAGCCAGAAACATGGCAGGCTTTAAAATAGACACTGCTGTGCAAGATGTCATGGGTCCCCAGAGCAGCTAACTTTCTGAGACCAGGGACCACTTCATAGAGGCGGGGCATTTGAATTGGGGCATAAAGAATGATGGCCAGGTGAAGACTAGCACTAGGTGCTATGACAGCACTTACTGTCCTGTGTGGGTATAGTCTGTATTGGGTGTCTTTCCCCTCATTTGATGGGGATGTCTGAAGGGAAAGGAACCAGGTCATGTTCTCATCGGTTCCCCATGGCTGACACAGAAAGTTTGTTTATGGAATGAGTAATAAACACCAGCACCCTGGAATGGGCAGTGTTCCTATAAAGAAGCACTGGGGCGAAAGCCTGGACATTTGGGGACACCCAAGGCCCCTGGGTGCAACTTGGGGTTTCTATCCCACAGGACCCTTGCCCACTGGATCCCTGATGTTGGCAACTGCTGCCACCTGCTGGGCAAGGCTAGTGTTGCCTTACCCATGCCATTGCAGCTGAGCACCTGTGTGCCCAGGTTGGGAGGAGAGTAACTGCCTGTCTTCCAGAAGCCCTCAGGCTGGTGGCAGAAACACCTTGACAATGACAAGATGATGACAGAGAAATACAGGGCTTTAGGGGCCTGGAGGCAGTTTGTGTAGGATTCAGGAAGAAAGGGGGGTGCAGACCAGGAAGAGGCAGCCAACTCAGGCTCCATGGCTGGAGTGAGTGTGTGTGTGTGTGTGTGTGTGTGTGTGTGTGTGTGTGTGTGTGTGATGTTCCCATTGTTGCTTTTCTGCTGCTTTCAGACAGGCTCACTCCCTCTTTCTCCTCTCCTGGAAAGTCTGGCCCTGACCCATTTTGTACAAAGCGCTAGCCACTGTGTGAGGTACGTCATCTAACCCTTACTGTGACCCTATCAGGGCAGCCCTCCATTAGTCCACTTCACAGATGAGGATGATGAGGCTCACGGCGGTACACACAAACAAGGTCCTGAGGGCTGGGTGACATGGTTTGTAAGCTGCCTGGCCCTGCAAATGCCAGTTGTTTTGACCACAAAGCTCACTCCTCTGCCCAGCTGGTAGCTCCTTTTCTCCCTTCTGGCCTCCTCCACCCAGCCCACCACTATCCTGTAACCATCTTCTCTGAGGCCTGGGCTCAGCCATCCTGGGGGAGATGGGAAGGAAGGAGGTATGAGCAGTGGGCAGATAGGAATGAGTCCCCCTGCTTGGTATGTGATACTGGAGGAAGGGCTTTGCAATGGAATTCACTGTGTGCCTGAATATAAGGTTATTCCCCCCTTTTCCCAGTGAAAAGATTCAAAAAAAGAAATTTGGCCCATAATTCTAATTTAAACATTTAGGAATGCAGATGAGATAAACAATTCTTTACTTATAATATTTTGTTAAAATATTTAAAATTTAAATATTTAAAATCACATACTTCTGGGTCGGCCGAGTGGCGCGTTGGTTAAGAACTGGCTTG